TTCCTGGGTTGGCCTTATAATGTTAGTATGTCTTTTAGATCAAAAATAGTCATAATTTAGAAATAAAAGGCATTTTTCCTAGCCTGATTTTAGCCTCTGCTTTAAACACTCTGTTTGAAGGGTCGTGTCTGCTGTGTGTAACCGGCCTCTGCTGTGATTGGCTGACATGCTTGCATATGAAATAGCAACATATTACATGTGAAACTGTCGAATAATTATACTACAGCTATTATACGTTTTTACTATTACAGCTATCGAGATTAACGAATCGTGAGATGTTTTTGAAGTATATAGATCTATTCCCGTCACATAAAGTGTAGCTGTGTTGAGCATTGAGCAAGCAGAGACAGTCTGTTGATCGCGAGAATGAAGATCTTATCATTGCAATGCAGTCTCTCTAACGTTACTCTCTAATGCAGCAGACACGATGATGTACAGTTAGAGCTTCGTTGTGCAGTGTAACGTGCGTCATTGAATTCATAACGAGTTCGGCAAGTGTCCAGATAAACTCGCGCTGTGATTGTTCTTTGATCGCTTTCTTTCTGTTTATAATTCACAATTTAAATAAGATTTTTTTTTTCATCCTACTAAAAGAAACGATGTGAAGTTGATTTTTAATCACTGGCCTGACTTACTGATGCAAAAACAGTATTGAACGATTTTAAAGTGAATGATTTCCTGCCTGAACTTGAACAACAACACATCAGCTCGGTCTGAGGCCAGCTCTTGGCAAGTTGAGGAAACAAGTCGCCGGTGAAATGTTTGAAAATTTCCAGAGAAAATTAAATTAATCCATTGTTTCTTCAGAGGAACACTGATGTTTCTACATCCGAACACTGATCAACGGCCATGCTTCGGCTGCGCAGCTCCGTCTCGTCTATCACTGAACATGGGCTGGCATATGCAAATATTTGGAGTCATACATATTAAAGGTTCTCTAAGCGATCCTGGGTGTTGACGTTCGGAATATTTTCAAACAAATCGGAGGCTAGCTAGACCCTCCCTCCTCCGCATCTCATCTCCTCCCCCTCCCTTCTGTGCTTCCTGAAATAATTGTGAACGTGCATTTCTAGCTAATTTTATCCTTGTGTGGGTTTGGCGAACATAAGCGTCAATTTAGAAGAAAAAAACATTTTAACGTTACTAGGGCTAACTAACGTTTATCATTTTCACGTCTTTTTGTGTTTTACAAGCAATGTTAAACCATCCCATGCTCGCGCACTCTCAGAGATGTCTTTCACAGCCTCACAAACAGCTCGCCAAAAACAAAATTTTTGTCCCTGGATTATATCACTTTAACAGTTAAAACACGCGACATTATGTCAAAACTCTGGTCTTGGTGAGTAACCTCGTAAAGACAGTCGGTAATGTCTTAAATTAGCATTAAACGCGTGTGACAGAAAGTTAATGAAGTATGGATTCGCGCACTAGTTCTTAAAGTGAACGCAGCCATTTGTGTCAGTCATTAATTCTGTTGTCATAACAACAGAATATAGTATTAATTGTAAGCAATCAGAATTAATAGCCTTTGTATGGACTAAAAAGACTATCCAGTGTTATTTTACATTGGATTACTTTATTCCGTTTCTGTAGTATTTCTGACATACCCAAAAAACTACCCCAAATTAATTTTCTTAGTCTTTATAGTCTTTATTCTATTGTATTTATTTGTGCTACTTTTTTCAATTTAATTCAAAGATTGAAATCAAGCTTCCATACATAAACTCTTAAAACAAAAACAAAAAACAAAAATAAACAAAAAAATTACATTACCATTTAGGTAAGATCAATGTAAAAAAATGTCTAAATATTTATATATTTATTTATCTATATCTATCTTAAACATAAAATAACATGATACTGTTTGATCAAGCTGTGCGACTGTTCTGACTTTTTTTGCATATTGCATCAAAATCCTGTTTATTCTTTGTATGCATTTAGTGTACCTAAAATAAAAAGAGTTTTATATACAGGTTTATGGCTCTTAATTTCTTTGTATTAATTAACCACTAGTAAACTTATGTCCACTGTTCTTTTTTATAAATATAGGATTTGTATTACATCTTCATTATAGTCGAATCGAGAATCAAATCAGGAATCGAGAATCGAAATCGAAAATTGAATCGAGAATCGAAATCGAATCGAACTGAGAGCTTGTGAATCGAAATCTAATCGAAATTGAAATGTGAATCGATACCCAGCCCTAAACGTTACCCACCTGTCCAGCAAAAACAGAGCAACCTGAATGTCGGACTGGAAGCCCTTCTGCCGCCAGAGTTCTCGCCATCGTTCAAAAGCTTTGCTACCGATGTAAAAGCTTTGCTACCGATGTAAATTCGGAACTTCGTTCTTTATCCGACTCCTTCTTCTTTTTAATTTGTTCTTCAGAACGACGTCTCTTTGGTCGTGTATCGGCCATTTTTCAAACTTTCTGATGCTTCTGTCTCCTTCACACACACACCCCCTTCATGTGCACGCGCACTAACCCCCCAGACCCACTCTCAAATACTTCTTGCCAGTGATTGGCTGGAACACTGTTTGTTAGGTTTCGTGGTCCGGGTGAGACATGATTGTTTTTGTTGCCGTTTGTGGAGCCTGTGGTGTCTACAGAGACCGCGTTTTTTTACAGTGTGTTTAGGGGACAGGCAGCTAGCCGATAGTGAGGAGACGTTTGATGTATGTGACAAAAAATGTTTTGGCCCCACATCGCTTAGAGAACCTTTAATGATCCCGACTTTTACGTCAGAGTCGGTATTATGTGGAGATTCGCCTGTTTTTCAGGGGTGTTTTTCAAAAACGAGATTTAAGTAAGAAGGAGAAAACAATGATGTTTGAGACTCACTGTATGTCATGTCCATGTACTGAACTCTTGTTATTTAACTATGCCAACATAAATTCAATTTCACATTATAGGGCACCTTTAACAGAATTGTTTTTATGCGTCACAGTTGAAATGAATTTAAATGAAAAATTTCCCCACTGTATCTTTTTTTTTTTCTTTGAGACTCATTGGAGACACACTGGCTTTACTGTCTGAGTCTGCTCATCTGCCCAGGTCGTCCTGAGCTTTATCGGCTGATGGGTAAATGCAATGCTCCATCGCTTTCTCTTGGCAGGAGAGACATAAGCCTAGCTGCAGGGTCCTCTGTCTACACACACACATACACACACCCTTATGGGTCCTTCATCTACTAGATTTGGTAGCTGATTACCCTCTGAGCACGAGAGAAACATTCTTCATTCATCCTCCCTTGTGATCTTGCTGCCATTTGGCATGTCTGTTGTTAAAGCTGACCTTCAGCTGGAAGCTGCACTACTTATTAAAGCACAACCTAAACATAAATGGAGATCTAATGACCTGCGGTGAATTAGACCAGACAAGTCTTGTGACCATTCGAAACAGAACTGCACCTTGAACCTTTCGCCATCATTTCGATGTAGGTGCCAAGAGGATCCTGTTTAACATTCATCACCGATGGCTGAACAGTGTCATTAGGTGCTGTTATCTTGACACAGTGCTTGTTTTTCTCCTCATTATTCCATGATCTCTCTCTCTCTGTTGTGTTTCAAGGTCATGGCTCAGAGCGTGTGTCCGTTCCAATTGTACGGTACAAACACATCACTGCTTGCCTAGTTTCTGTGGTAAGAGCCTCACTGACCTCCTCGAATGTGGGCCAATTAAAGGAGTCTGACATAGGAGGGCACTAACGTGTGAGGCCTTTCTTCTTTGTGAAAGTGATTAAGGGGGTAAATCTTCCCATTTAGGGAGAGAGAGAGAAAACTGGAGAGAGAGTAGGCTATTAAAGAGGACAGATGGGTAGAAAGATTCTTGGTAATGAGCAGGAAGTATGCTGTATGCCAGCTTGTGTGTTTGTGACTTGTGTATGTATTCTGAATAATAATGAATAAATATATAATTATGCACATTATTTATATATATATATATATATATATATATATATACTATTATTAATAATTTAAATCTTTTTTTATATTTTATTTTAATTTATACATAATATATATTTTTAGTTAGTATAGCATTTTTGTATTTTGTGTACTGTATATGTTCATTTGAATGCATTAGCAAATAAAATATATTACTTATAAATTATTTAAAACTATATAAACGAATAAATACATTATACATAAATAATAATCATTAATAATGTGTATAATTTTATTTATTTCTTAATTATTCATATTTTATCTGCATATCATGTAAGCAAATTGATTTTTACTTTAGTTTTACAACTCAGTGCAAATTCAGTGCAAGCCAAAGTCCACCATACCGAGCATGAATGACAGACCCATATGGATTTCATTTATGTATAATTAATATAAGTACCTTATCTTGTATAACGTAGCAGTACCTTATCTTGGCCAGGTCGCCGTTGTAAATGAGAATTTGTTCTCAATCGGCCTACCTGGTAAAATAAAGGTTAAATAAAAAAAAAAATAAAAAAATCTGTTTATGTATATAATATATAAATTATTATGATGTAGAAATATGTAAACCTATTTGTAAACAATCTCATGTTCTGAACTGTGTTTAATAAAAATACATTGTTATGCGGGGGCAGGTACCGAAATTTGCAAAATTATGATATTGCTGGAATTTTTTTTCCAAACTTTTTTTTTTAATGGTTTTAAAACACAATACATTTTCTCTGTACTTAATTTATTGCCTGTTTTGTCTATTTACACATGCTTGCATAATTTTTGACGGTCGCCCTGCAATATGAAAACACTGTTTTTTTTTTATTGTGCAGATTTTTTTGCTATGGGTTTTTGGCTTTAACATAGCCTTACAGGATGCTTTGATCTTCTGCATACTTATGGCATGGATTTGAAGTGACTTTACTGAGTTCTATGTAAAAGCCTGTAATAGTGATACCAACAGTCAAACAATGTATCATAAGTAAAACAGCATGTTTTCAGAATAATGAGGCAGAATGTGTATTTAGAATGCGTGTTCACGTCGTGTTTTCTATTATTTGCAGGTCCATTGTCTCGGAGCCCTTGTGAACTTTTGCCAGTTGGGGTGGGTCACCCGGTTCAGGCCATGTTAAAGAGTTTTACTGCCCTATCAGGCTGTGCTAGCCGAGGAACCACCAGTCTTCCTCAAGAGGTGCACATCATCAACCTACGAAAAGGCAATGCACAAGGAGCCAGAGAGAAACCAGCAGAGGTACAGTAAGGTTCCTTCACTACTAGACCTGAAATGCTGCAACGGATGTGCACTAACCCCTTTCCATAAGCATTGATTAGCTCATTTCAGTTATGTCATAATTAAGCGTTTGAACATGTATGCTATCAAAAAACAGCATGATCTCAAATGTACTCTTAGTAAATAAAAATGTGAATCGAACAAACCCCAAACATAATTACAGTCAAGTTAAGTTTTAGAATTAACGATCCCTTGAGACAGCAGTTACCACAACATAACAAAGTTGTGTTGTTATTATATACATACATGTTATTAGCATACAGGCTAACTTAACTAGTGACACGTATTAATGCATTTATTAAATCAATGAACTTTAAAATTCGAACACATTATTCTCTATGAGTGTACACACACCGGCGGCGCCATTCGGCGTCTGTTCGCGGCGCCCAGCAACGGCTCAGGACCGTGTTCAAAATCCTGCTGCGCCACAGAGCACCATTTACACAGTTTTATATAAAATTTAAATTATTTTTGTCTCAAATCGTTGCTAATGGATCCTGACTTCGCTCTATGCTGCAATATACATTTAGTTAGGCATTCATTTACAGAAATCAGCTGCTTGAATGACAATTGGTGATGTTATTGGATTTTTCAAGTGAGATTCTCAATTCATTCAGTTAACGGATGCTCTGAGGTAAAGTTTTCCGACTGCAGACTCAGCAATGATTTCATGTCGTTAAACATAACAATATTGCTGGCCATACACTGATTAGAAAGTGCGCATCCGTTGTGCGATACTTGGAGTTGTCCTAGACGTGGCGCTTCTCGTCTTTATTCAATCGATTAATCGATCTGTTTCCATTTGGCATTCAATGGTCAAACTAGGGATTCCAATCAATTTACCACTTCCAATTAGAAGTCCCTTAAGGTCACCAATGCTGCATTTATTTAAGTAATAACACAATAAAAACAGTAATCTTATGAATTACTATTAAAATTGAAAATAACTGTTTTCTAAACTGTAGTTGCAAGTGGGTAGCTTGACTATATTTAAAGGAACACTCCGACTTTTTGGGACTTTAGCCTATTCACCTTACCCCCCAGAGTTAGATAAGTCCATACATACCTTTTTCATCTCCGTGCGTGCTATAAGTCTGTTTGACGCACCCACCGCTAGCCTAGCTTAGCACAAAGACTCGATGTGACTGGTTGCAGCTTTCATACTAATCCAAATGAGTGACAAAATAACGCAAACGTTTTCCTATTTACATGTTGTGATTTGTATAGTCACATAATGTACAAATAACAAAGTCAAATGAGACACAGACATCTTTTAACCGTATAAAACCTGGGAACTATTCTCTGAAGGCGAAGCACTGCTACTTTGACGGAGTAATAACCGCATCACCTGGGACACGCCGTGGTGAGGAGCGGAGAGTTCGCTCGGTGTTTGGGTAATAGAGTCAGCAATTTATAAATAGTAAAAGCGTAGTTTAGAGTCATGGGTTTTCGCTCTATTGTAAATAGCTGCGACATAAACAGGGGAGGTAATACCATGTTTCACAGAATTCCAACTAAAAACGCTGACTGGATGAAGAAATGGCTAACTTACTCTGGATATTTATCCAAACACACCTAAGATTATCAAGGGACATTATGTTTGCTCGGTACATTTCAATGAGGACGACTATTTTGAAAAAATGGAATTTGCCACACGGACCATAATGTGCTGAAGGATACGGCCATCCCATCGATAGCACAGACAGGACAAGTGGATCACCTGCGGCTGAGGTAAGTGTTCCGTTATGTTTTTAGATGACCTACTGTAACAGTGCCATTATTAGCCAGATCTAATGTAACGTTAGTGACACTATTATATGATTAGGGTATGAATATGTTTTTATCTTGATGCGGTGCGGACGCGCTTGGGAAAAAAAAACGAGCGCGTTTACCGCGTTGAACTTGCACCCTGCGCGCGGCGCGCCTAGTAGCCTAAATTTGAAATAACCATGGAAATAACGAACTTGAGCGTGCAAAAGGGTACGATAGGCTGTGAGTTCATTGTGCAAAAACAATTTGTGCTATTACTTTCCCCTTATTCTATCCTATAGTAATGCAATACTGTATATTATATAGGCTACTGTTGAATACATTTGGTTCATTTGGTTAAATTGCATTTAAAATATATTGATTCCTGTAATAATAATTATTTATTCATGTGATATTTATAAATCTGGGTGCGTTTTTGGTTGGAAATCAATGAAAAATGGTACTGTATTACCTGGTCTCCCCTGTTTATTGTCACAGCTCATACAATAAAGCAAACACCCATGATAAACTATGCTTTTCTATCTAACGTTAGTAATTGCTGACTCTTTATTCCAACGCTGAGCGAAGCGAACTCTCTGCTCCTCGTCACGGTGCGTCTCAGGTGATTGTTATCACTGTCAAGTAGCAGTGCTTCGCCTTCAGAAAATATAGTATTTATACGGTTAAAAGATGTCTGTGTCTCATATGGCCTTGATATTTGCACACTCTGTGACTATACAAACCACAACATGTAAATAGGAAAACGTTTGCGTTATTTTGTCACTCATTTGGATTAGTATGAAAGCTGCAACCATTCACATCCAGTCTTTGTGCTAAGCTAGGCTAGCGGTGGGTGCGTCAAACAGACTTATAGCACGCACGGAGATGAAAAAGGTATGTATGGACTTATCTAACTCTGGGGGGTAAGGTGAATAGGCTAAAGTCCCAAAAAGTCGGAGTGTTCCTTTAAACCATATTACATTGAGATGAGATTGTTGCTTCACAAGCTACATTTTCAAAAGTAGCTTTCCCAACTCTAATTTCCACTTTAGCAGTTATGTCTTTTAGCACGTTCATGCAGACTTAAACACAGACTAGCAGAAAGGTTGACTAAAGACCCCTTTTGAGCACTATTTTAGATTGTTCAAATAGCAATTTCCCTGTTATGAAACATCAAACCACTAAACCTGGGAAACCTAGAGTTGTTTAAATGGCTTTATGGCAGAGCTGTTGCTTGTAAGTTTAACTTGCAATGATAAAGTGGTTATAAACATACTTTGATTTTGAACTTGGCTGAGATGAGGTGAGTTGGCTGGATTCTTAAGTTGTTAGTTGGTGGGTGTTGTTGAAACAGTGTGGGGTGCGCCCAGAGTTTGAGTATGAATTGATGTTGTAATTGCTGGAAAAACTTTTTGGCCGAGAGCATTGCTGACTCTAGATGTTCGCAGTGAGACGGTACAATCTCATCTTTGCGTTATCATTTCTGTAATTAGAGTGTAGTGCTTTTCTGAAATCAAAAAGCGATTCTGATATGAACCCTTCCTGCCCAAGTTGTGCGTTTTTTTTAAAATTCTGATTAGTAACCAATGAGTATGGAAACACAATATGTACTTGGAGAAAGATTGGCCGTCAAGTTTTCAGCCTTCACATATCACCAAAAACAACGCCATTGGGCCTCAGGAAAGTTTGTGGTAAATTTTTGAGGCTCTGTCTGGACTTTTGTGAGTGAAAAGGGAGGAAGAAAGAGGCAGTGAGAGGGGCCAGAAGAAGAAAGAAATACAGAAAGAGTGCAAATGGATGCAGTTGTCGGGCACTATCAGCCACGCGGATCGAGAAAGGCTTTTTTTTCCCCCTCTGGACTTTGTAAGGCTTGGGCTCACAGCTCTATTGAAATACAATATTGGTCCCTGCCGACACAGACAATGATGGCTTTAAACCGCCTCGCTTTCACTGTTGTGTGTTTTTTGCATCAGGGAGCAAGTATCACTCAACTGGGTCAGCGCAGACAAAAGGCTCTCTTCTTCACCCCTGCCAGGGTTCAAAGCCCACTTGGATTTTACTCTGTGGCGCTCCATTAGGCTGCCGCTCATATCCATACCATGTACTGTGTGCCCTCACGCATTGTAATCAGGATCGCTGTTGTTCCCTCCACCCTGACAGACAGGAAGCAGAAGAAAAGCGCACTGGCCAAAGCACAAGAGCGGATCGTTGTAAACATCCGTGCCAGAGAGATCAGATTGTTGTTGGTGGCTTCAGTTCGTGAAACAAAAGCCTGAGGAATGCTATCTGACATATCTCAGAAGAGTAAGCAACATAAAGTGAGCGAGTGAGAGAGAAAGAACTACTTTTGTTTGCAAGTTGTCAATCCCTAAGTCATTTGCAAACAGAAGATTCAAGTGTTTGATAAACAAAATAAATGCTTTTATAGGCAGAATTCACTCGACTTTTTTTTGGTAACTGCTTGCTGAAATTCACTACAGTCTCATGCTTAATTTGTTTCAATCAAAGTTTTCAGTCTTTATTGTCTTTATATCAAATGCAATGGTGAGTAAATAAAATAAAGCTATCTGCCAGTAAGTTTACTAGCTACTGCATCTAGCTACTGTAACATGCATCAAGTTTATTTCCAGAACTCCATATGATCTCACATTAAGCCTGTATCTCACATTAAGCCACTAAAATAAAAATATGTCTTGTTGCTTTTTGCTAGTGAGCCTTATTACTCTTTATCACTCATATATATTTAAAAATAAAATAAAATAAAATACATTTACTTTTAAAAATGCAATTTCAAGGTCAATATAAAACAAAACAACTATGTGTAAGAATTTTTATGAATGAATCATTTTTTTATTGCCAATGTGTGAACAACTTACACAAATACACATACACAACAAATACACATTGTTATTAAACTATTTGCACTTAGTATTTTTTTAATATATTGTCCATCTCTCTGTTTTTCGCTGCAATACATCCTGCTGCTACAGATATCTGCACTTATGTGTCTCATAATTGTAAAATCTAAAATTGCACGCATTTTATATATTGCACATATTTATATTTATATTATTTCTCTTTTATTCAGAGCCTGTATATTGTGAATGTACTGTAGAATGACAATAAAATCAGTCTAAGTCATCAAAACAGCAGAGCTTGTGCAAAAATATCCACATCTCCATGATCAGATGCTTTCTTAAAGTTACACTCTG